TTGACTTTTTTTGACTTTTTTTTGACTTTTCAATTTGACTTTTTTTTGACTTTGACTTTTGGGATTGACTTTTTTTGACTTTTTTTTAAATTTTGAAAACAGGTTCTTTCCAATGAAAGTTTTTTATAAATCTACAGCGCAGGTCAGGCAGTGGCTCTACTTTATGATCTTTATGAAGTACTTAAAAGCACGGACTCCAAGATTGATCTGCAAACAGCATTGCCACAAGCACAAATCATCCAAGCCACTCAAGTCCGTCTTCCCCAATCCGCTGCCGCTGTAGTTGGCTGGGGGGATGAGCGCGCCCGCAAGGCCACCAGTTTCAGCGTGCATGAAATCACCTGGTACTGGTGCCCCACCACCAAAAGGATGCATGTGGATGAGCCAGCTCAGCAAACCCATACAAATCCTACGACAAATGCAGGGCTTGGTGCCCTGGCGTTTGAAAAACGGAGCGGCCAGCGTTCCAAGCTACTCCATGCATGCCAACGGAAGCTTTAACTTGTTCCAAAGGCACAAAAGTACCAAACGCAAATGCCAGCCACCATCGCCACGCAGCTGACCGCCTGCCACACGTGAGCCAAACAACAAACAAGTGAGGGGGATAAAACAAAAATGACACTCCACTCAAAACTATTCAGAGCGCGCACATGCTTAGGCAATAGGCACAACCTGTGTCTCTGTGATTGCACGACCAAATGATCTGTTAACGTTGATAACCTGCAAACACTCAACCGATGCAGAGTCGATCTGTTCATCGCACCAATTCCCTGGAATTACATGAGCAAACTTGGGAATGTCAAGGGAGTTGGACCCGCTCGCAAGAAAGGAATTTCCAGGCACATGTATCTCAACAGGCAAATTCCTTGAGGTCAAGAAAGAACATGCCTGCTGAGATCCATGTGCTTTAGATTTCCTGCCTGCACGGCCGTCACATAGCGAGGTGCTTTGCCTTCGGCCCATTCTTTAGGTGAGCATGGTGCATCTGGCCTGGAACAAATGCACTGGGAATGTCATGTTGGTGCATCTGCCCATATATCTGCCCAAACACGTGCATTTAGCCGCCTATGCCGGTATGCAGGCTCTTGAAGAAACTGTTCGTGCAATGTTCTCTACTGCGATCCCACATGTTCTACCGGGCGAACATGGATATGAGAAGTGGAAAACACCCCATGTCACTGTCTCTCTCTCTCTCTCTGAAGGGGACATGGTCCTCTGGCAGCATGGGGGGTCCAACAACCTGCGAAAAACAGCGGTGAACCCGAGCATGCGCGATCATCAGGATCAGCAGTGGGAGCCAACCACCCAGCAGGCGTTCAATGAAGCCATGAGAATTGTGTGTTATCGCAAGCTGCTTGGCACAAGCTAACAACATGCATTGCTGCATCACGTGCATACTCACATGCATAAGAATCATAAAAGTCCTTTTTTCCCCACCTGTCAGGCGAGGGTTGTTAGATTTTATGTTAGCTGCCTCGGCCTCGCTGTTCTCCTCTCTCCTCCTCGCCTGTCCTCGCCTCTCTCCGTCGTCCTCCTCAACCGCGAGTGTCGGATGGCAGTGTTCCCCACCATTCCACCTCAACCGCCAGCTGCGGATTGCAGTGTTACCCGCAGGACCTCAACCGCCAGTTCCGGATGGCAGCGTTCCCCGCCTCAACCGCCACCTCAGGACCCCGCCAGGTCGCAACCGCCAGTTCCAGACGGCAGTGTTCCCCGCACGGTCTCGAGTCTCAACCGCCAGTTCCAGACGGCAGTGTTCCCCGCACGGTCTCAACCGCCAGTTCCGGACGGCAGTGTTCCCCGCACGGTCTCAACCGCCAGTTCCGGACGACAGTGTTCGATCCCCGCAGGACCTCAACCGCCAGTTCCGGACGGCAGTGTTCCCCGCCGGACCTCAACCGCCAGTTCCGGACGGCAGGTGTTCCCCGCACGGTCTCAACCGCCAGTTCCGAACGGCAGTGTTCCCCACCAGACCTCAACCACGATTCAGAAGATAAGCCAAATAGAACGCCAAACAGAATGTCAGAAAGAATGCCGAAAGACATGCCAGAAAGAATTTCAGCAAATATATATGCCAAAAGCAATGCCAGAAAGAACGTCAAAAAATATGCCAGAAAGAGTGCCAGCAGAGATGTCAGATAGAGTGCCAAAATGAGCGCCAGAAAGAATACCAAAAAGAATGTGAGAAGATATGAAGAAGACGTGGCAAGAAAGAGTGCCAGAAGACACGCCAGAAAGAACGCAAGAAGATGTGCCAAAAATAATGCCAGAAGATATGCCAGAAAGAATGCCAAAAGATATGCCAAAAGAATGCCCGAAAGATCCCGAAAGAGTGCCAGAAAATATCCCAGAAAGGGTGTCAGAAGAGTTGCCAGAAAGAATGTCAGAAGATATGCCGGACATTATGTTAGAAAGAATGTCAGAAGATGTGCCAGAAAATTGCAGAAAGAATGCGAGAAACATATGTCAGAAAGAATGCCGAAATCATGCTTCATGCATGCCCAAAAAAAGTCATATTGATATCTCATGGTGGGGATCACTCGAAGTGAAGTAATTGTAACTACAGCCTGCATCCGTACCACCTGCCAGCCCTATCCTATAAGCCTTTATTCATTGTGTCTCTGGAGGGTGATTCATCCCAGTTTGGCCCAAACAACATCATGGTAACCATGGGTACGTCTCTCTCCGTCTTCTTCTCGCCATGGTGTCTCGCTCTCGCAGCGCCGCAATGCGCCGCAGCGCCGCCAAAACAGCTCTTGCCTCCCTCCACCTCGGAGCAGCTGATGGCCCGCATCGATCTTCAGCAACAGCAAGTTGGCCAAGACAGTGAAAACAGTTGCGGCCCAGGAGGTGTAGGCACCCGCCTGCGAGACCGAGGCGTGACATGGCGTGACAGAACTGTCTGGCAAGAATCACCACAAGGACGAGTGGTGCGAGTATGTAGTTGTATAGCTTGACCAAATGGCAGTTGAGTCAATCAATTACACTCACTTGCAGTGCTTGACGACCTGACCCCACATGACCCCACGTACAACATCTCAGATTCAAACGGGTGGTCTGCTGATTCCCTCAGGCTCACAAAGGTGCAGGGTCAAACCCGCGCGCGTCCTCCAGGCCCAAGTACAACTTCTGGACCATGCCCAAAGGCAACGCTACATCATTGCTCAGGACCATGGCAGTGTTGCCGGTCGTCTCCGCCTGAAATCGCAACACCGATGGAGGTGCATCTTTCGACATCTGCAATTCCCAGGGCTCTGACAGAGCCCAGCTCTGTTGGGGGACAAGGATTCTCATAGAAGCCTTCAGCAGCCGTGAGACACCACGCATTCAACCTCATTCCACTGACGGTGCGTCGCCCATGATCTCGGTCCTCAGTCTCTGGGACCACGAAACCACCCAAACCCTCCAGCCTCCGAGAGAGCAAAGCGGCCCAAGACCAAGGCAACCATGAGGAGCTTCCGGCGGTAGGGGGCCAGGAAGGGGGTGAGCCAAACCAGCAGCATGATGGCATGGCAAGTGAAGGCCTTGGCCGGAAACGTTGGCTGGTTCTTCCTCCGATTGATCCATGACTTTGGAACGATCCATACTCCTCCCGCATTCATCCTGCATTTACACTTGAGAGATCTTAAGCTTGCTAACTGCTAGTCTGCATTGCTTGTGTCATTCATACAACCCTAAACCTCTCTAACGGAACTTCTTGACCTCTGCGATGCTGGGCTCCGTGCCGCGACCATTGACATGAAGAACCACAAGATCTGGCAGTAGAGCGATCCGCCCAGCAGGAACTGTTGCCCAATGCCTCGCTGTTTGGAGAGCTTCTTCGGCTGAGCCGCAAGCTTCGACATGGAAGATTGACAAAGGTGAAATTGGCAAATTGTTTGCTCATTTTGGACCCGAAGCTGACATGTGCGGATCATCTTCGACAAGCCACCAAAGAAGGTATACTGCAAGAGGGTGTCGTTTTTGAATATGGTGCCACCTGTCTTCTGCCTGAAGGCTTCCAAACGGAGAGCTCCAATCCGAGCACGCATTCAGTTCCAAACGAATAGGTCCAATGTATGTTTCCTGGACATCGCTATTCTGTGAAGCCTGTCCACGGGATGGGGTGGTCATGTTGCACAATTGCGGGGGCCTCTTTGTGACCATGATGTCTACGTGCTTAGATGTGCTTAGTCCTTCTGAGTTTCATTAGAGTTCTGGATGCAGCAGAGACTTCAAGTTCCGGAACTTCATTTCGAGGCACTCGATGGTGACGCCAGTGGCGGCAAAGGGCAACCAAAAGCATGCCAAAACCCGAGCCACCAGGCCAGCAGCCATCAATGTGCTGGTCGCGATGGTGCCTTGGCGGCCAAGGTGGAAACACAAATATTAGATTTAGAGTAGAGTCCTGCACCAGCTTCCATCACATCAACAAAAAGCAATTCCTCCTCTACAAGCACATGATATCAATACGCTCCATTCACTGCCCACCTGAAAGATTGGTTCAGGCATGTTCAGGCTTGTGACCATGTCTTGCACCAGTGACACGAGATCCGTGCTCATTCCAGCCGTCTTGGTGACCAAAAACTGACTTCGAGTTGCAGAGTTTGGGAGACGCCGCCACCGAATACGATGCATTCTTTCCCTGCCAGCTAATCGTTGCCTCAGAATGAGAAGCCGTCAAGGGGTCGCTGGTGCGCTTCATCGATTTTCCGAAGCACTGTCTCAAGTTCGGAGGCCTAAATTCTTCTCATTGCCATGCCCTCCTAACATGAGGTTGCTTCAAAAACTCTCTATCAAAATCCAAGCGCTCGGAAAGTGCTTGACCATTTTTGACCCCTATATCAATCCTTTGTCCGGCAGCTTACGGAACTACATGAAACTGTGGTGACTCTAGGAGCATTGCTCCAGCCTAGGGAATGTTGCTCACGCAGCCTTATGCAACCCTCTTTCCTTCAAATTACATATTTGTACAGCAGTAGTAGTAGCAGTTGTTGTTGTTGTTGTCTCAATTGTCCTCTTTGTCACACAGGTATGTTGGGCCTGGCGCATGACAACATTGTATGAACAACCTAGAGTTTAGCAAAGAGCCGAAACATTGCAAGACATGAAGTCCAAATTTCAACACGCAGGGTGACATCAGCAACTGCTAAATGCAAAAATGCGGTCGTGCATGGTACACGACTCCATGGTTAGGGAAGAACTCGATGTAGTTGGCAAGCAACCCAACCCTCCAGGTCTGGCTGTCCAAGCCGCCAACGGTGTGTTGGGCATCAAATCCGCCGATTCACAGGTGTCGGTGCTCATAAGCCGACCCAAAGTGGCAGCAAAGGTATAGGTCGCCTCGAGCAAAGGTATAGGCGTTCGATGTCTTACAACGAACGGACCAACAGGGCTGACAAAGGTTAAGAAATGTAAGCACCATATTGGTCGAGATATATCGGGAAGGATAGAGGGATGCCATGCCGCTGCATTGACATGCGATGATGTGGCGAAGTATGTCGTTGAAATCCGTCCATCCTTCGTCCACAACTTCCGATTCTCGCATCTACCCAGGCAACTCGCAACATGACGAGTCAATTGGAGTGGCAAACTGCCGACATGCTAGAAAATGAAGAGGTTGCATATTGATTCTATCTAGGCTTCACTGCGGCATCACTTAAGCCTCTCTAGCAAAACCAGTGGTCTTTTCATTTTCTTGAGCCAAATGGAGAATGTAGAGGAGGCACTGCAAGGGCCAGGATCACCAAAGCACTGCCCAACCAGAGCCTCATGGCGCAAGTGAAAGCCCTTGTCAAGCAAATTGTGATGTATCTCAACATGTATCTACATACACATATATATATATAGTCTACGTAGCTTTCCATTTGTCTCTGCCTAGCTTGTACATTGCATGTAGGTTTCAGTGCATGTCTGGATCAGAGTATCCAGCATGCCGTCGACGCGGATTGAGTGAACGTCCGACGAGTGGGTGATATATAGTCTACGTACATATACATACATATGTATCTCATCAAGTATATAATCACATATACTGTTTTTCCCTGGAAGTGTTGGACCTCGGACATCGGGGTATCAAATCTGAATTGTTACTGTCGAATCATTGATTAATTATGTTTAATGATTAATGAACTTGATTGGTTTGGGAAAACTTAAACAATAACTTTTGTACCTCTCTTGAAAGGTGTCTATCTATATTTGCGAAGCGGAACCGAACCTTCTTTGTTGGTCCAATGTGCGCTGCCCTCACTGCTTACCTGCCCTTGACATGACTTATCCTGGACTAGGCCCAGGCAAACAAATTTCGTGACCTTTTGGGTAGTAGAGATTGTGCCTCCCTTTTCATAAAGGGTCAGCAGCTACAGCTGCCGTATTTTGGACGGTGGTGCAAACTGGTCGAAGCAAGCCAGAACGAGGCCAAATAAGCCAAGGCGGCATGAGGTTGTCTGGTGTCACGTAGGTGTAGCCCAACTGGTCCTTGAAGAAAGCAGAGTCCTCCTGCAGGAGGAGCTTCATGCTTCTACTGCATTGGATTTGTGGAGCCGACACCTACTACATCAGTACTACATCAATTAAATTGAATCCTGCACCTGCCTATATTAAAGATCTGAAGATTGGCCATATTTCAGAGTTGCTCCCAGAGCGCGTCCCTCCACCTAGAAGCAAAAACGAATGAATTTTCCCAAAGGGCCTCGGCCTTCTCTGCAAGCTGTGGGCTGGTGCATTGCTTCTTCACAGTGTCACGGGCCATGTGATACAAACCTGAGCCCACAATGTCATTGTTTAAGATCAAAATGTATTGAACATGTAGCCAACCACCTGATGGATATCTTTGCATGAGATCACGAGGAATCGTCAGAATCACTAGGCTGCTGAGATCCCCTGAGTCAAATGTCTGCGAAAAGCTTTCCAAGTCACGGGTGGCCCCTTCTGTGGTGGAGGCCCATTCCCTCATCTGATCTCCGTACTTGCACGCATCTGGGTGCATGGTGCACATCTGCTCCACAGGGTACTGTGCAGGTCCGTCCTGATGAAAAAACAGCGCTAAGTGCCAAGGATTGGGCAAATGACATAGTCACACACCCCTGAAGCTAAGTGAGCAAACGCACATTAAGGTCACCAAAGTGCCCAAATGAATCATTGTTTTTGATATCTGGTAGATGTTTCAGTGTCAAAAGGCCACCTTAAACTTGCCTCGTATATATATATATATATATTGGACCATCTTGATTCTGAGAAGAGCCACACCACACCGCCCGAACGTTCCAATGCTCTTTCTTCGGTCCTTTGGCTGCACCAGGACACGGCCATTGCCGCCCCAGGTGGCATTGACTTTCATGATGTCCATCTTGGAGAAGGGTGACAGCAACGCGCATGTGAGACTCGGTGGGATTTGCCTTGGCGATAAGATGGAGCGACTATACACTCTCAACGAGCCCCCCTCACCACTCCCTGGTTAAAATCATCTCGATGTGTAAATTATGTTGAAAAACATTATTTCAGTACAGTACTGCCACCTATAACTTCTTCTGGCATGGTATATGAGCGAGAAACGATGGACATCTCGAAAGAAGCGACCAAGCGGCGTATCCATGAGTTGCCAAAAGTCCACGACCACGTCCAGCTGGCGGCAGAAAACGGTTTGACAAAATCCAACTCAGCGATGCATGTACCCAAAAAACATAGCCCTCGTCAGGAGGTTTTGGAAGATCATTCAATCTCTTCCCGTACCAGGTAGGGCGATGTTGCCGGACGACACCCTGCACCCTTATAGATTCTGCCCATCTATCATCAATAGATCACTTTAGCCATAGCCTTAGCTCTTTTAAGAGTGACCCCCATCTCCGGTGCTTAACCTAATTAACAAACTGATTGCTTTTTACAAGTCTTGCTTTTCATCTCGCACTTTGATTGATGGATTCGCATGGATGAGGGAGGCAGCAGTCCCCATTCACAATCCGTCAAACTCCCTAAAACATTGTACCCCCACCGGCCAAGTGAATTGTCTTCCGTTTGTTCAGTTCTGACTAGTTCTGAGCGCCCTGATATTGAAATAAAGTCACCTGGATATCCTTCACAAACCGTCCATCACCGCCCGCAGACTGAAGCGCTGAGAGGTGATGCATCACCTCTCACCGATGAGGTCGCAGTCAGGCCTCCGCTTCCATGGTGCCACAGGGCATCTCCAAACTCACCAGGCCGTCTCCACCGAAGACTCCGGCGAAGAGGGAGCCATTCACGGCAAAGGTCGGGTGGTATGGTGCCTGGATGGGTGGGATGAGCTCAACATGATGCACCCACAGTTTGAAGAGAGAGAGAGAGAGAGTTCTTTGCTGGGAACTGGGAAGGGAGATCGTGAAACCAGGCAGAAACATGTGAAACCATCAACTGCTGGACTCCAAGACTAATTGGCTTTGCGCAGCGATTGGCGCTGATTTTGGTTCGAGGTCTCTGAAATGGACTGTCACAGCTAAGCGCCCGTCGTCACGTTCGTACGTTCGGCCAAAATCTGCGCCAATGAAGCACAACTGCAACTACACTATCCCTATGATAGTTGCAACTAATCTCTCTCATCACGATATGAATAAGTCATCACTCGACTCTCCTCGATTGGCCACGACTAAATGGTGCTGCGTCACCACAGCAGCCCAAGCGTAGAAGGAAAACCAGGGAAAAAAGAACGGCAGGCCCAACAGTGGAACTCACTTGAAGCACAACACGCCTGCTCGGTGGGACATTTGGCCACCGCCTTGTTCCCTAGCCAGCTGGGATGCTCACTGGAGGGCAGCAGCACTCGAAGTTCGCTGACCTCGAGCTCCATTTGAATAAATGGGATGGAACATGCTGGGCACATGGAACTATCGGAATATAATAATATATATATATATTATTGGATTTGAAGGGAATGTCTATGACAATGAATGTAATTATGTTATGTTCGTATCACAATAGTAAACCACTCCACGAATCAATTATAAACTTAAGAATCTCCTGGCAACGGAAACCATGCAATTATAAACTACTGTCAATTAAACAAAAACAGCGTTTTTGGTAGGTTGAATATTAGAGTCATTAGAGAGTGGGTCAATTATATAAACCCACTATTCTGGACACATATACTATAAATACAATTACAATAAACTTGACTTACTCCTCTACAACAAAAACACATTCTTTTCTAAGTAGGTTGGAATAATAAACTCGACTTTCTGCTCTACAATAGTAAGCCTACTCTAAACCTCTTAACAAATAAAGCTTATAACTGGTTACATTGCCTCAGCAAAATCACAATTTAAACTTTAAACTAGCTTAAAACAATCAAATTCTCTATATCATACTTCTTTAACAAATCCTCAAAGTCTTGGCCAAAAGTACCCCTTGCGAAGACCTAAAACATACAATTAATTACAAACATCTGCCAATAAAAAGGGGTTGCAATAATACACTTAGCTTACTCCTCTCCAATAATAAGCCTGCTTTTCTAGTAGGTTGCAATAATAAGCTTGACAGTTTGCCATACAATAACTATGAACCGTATGAACCTGTTGTTTTGTTTACGTGCCGTAATTTGATGTGATTATATAATTAGATGTTTTTAGTAGGCATCAATAATAGACTTGATTTATTCCTCTACAATGATAAACCTCTTTCCGGATTGAACTAATTACAGTATTACATCTACAATTTGGACCAATTCAAAACACAAATGAACAAATTGTCATAATCCGAAGGTCTGAGGTTTATTGTTGCGAGCAGTTTCTTTTGTTATCTTTATTACGACGATTTACGACGAACATGTTTTTGCCACAGGTTTTCACTAGGGGGAGATTTATTGTTGGGATGTGAACATTACTTTACTTACTTTCAGAAATCCCTTATCTGAAGGTGCCTCAGAAAACATATCTCTTTGGAATTCGTTGAGAATGATCAAGTTTCATCTGATCTGTCTGACAGCTCTTGAACATGGTAACACCGGTGCCTGGTTCAATCCCGTCGCGATGAGCTGACGCAGCGTCACTTTGCCTTTCAAGGGCACATCCAATTGTGGCATGTTGCCAAGACCATCCTCCAGGGAGAGAATGATCAACAGCAAAACAATGGAAAGCTCCCCCCAAAAAATAGACACAAACGACATGATAGGGAGGGCGACATATTAAAACATATGTCGAAGCTATTGCTGATGACGATTTTCGATTATTTTATTAGGTCTCCTCAAGCACGGAGGTATTGTGAGCGATGAAGCCATCGAAAAAGTTGTCGATCCACTGTCGCCTTGGGATGCTGCACGTGAGCCGTCAGCTCCAGCTCCCAAACGAACGCAATCGAGCTGAAGGAGGGAAGAAAAGTGCAAAATAGTGCAGGGTTAGTTGGGTCAGAACCCTGTGCAAACTAACCCTGCAAAATAGTGCAAAGGTGAATGAGTCGGAGATTGCTGGGCATGCGAAATCTGCTTGACTTGAAGTCAGAACAGGCCAGTCTTGGACAGTCGTTTTTGGCTTTCGGGTCACATGAAATTGTCGAAGATCGGCGGCCAATTGCTGTAGTGCTCGGGGAACACATTTCGCACCTCACGGACTTCCCAAAAGCAAAAACGCCCAAGGTCCACACGCTGCTGCGAGCGGTCCCAGCGATGAAGTGAGTGATAGTGAGTGGAGGAAAGAAATGGAAAGAAGACAAACATGACGCTACTAGTAACAAGGGCATCGCTTCTAGTAACAAGTGCCTTACTAGTAGTAACAAGGACGCTACTAGGGGCTCCTGGCATCGCTACTAGGAGCCAAGGACGCTACTAGTAACAAGGGCATCGGTGCCCTGGTCCAACCTGCTGCGATGCCAGCGCAGGATCGATACATCGGCCTGGTTTCCTGGGTCCGGAAGGTCCGGAAGGGTCGGACGTCGGGTGACACGTGCCGGCTCGGAAGCAGAAGATGCACCGATAGGAGAGCAAGTTGGGAATCCACACAATCGATGTCAATGGATAAAGAAGACATGTAAACGTTTCACACTCAGCTTTGGGTTGGTTAAACTATGTCAGACTGAGATCTGAACACATGAAATATTTGGACATCTCTGTTGGTGGAGCTGCATCCATGAGACACCTTGTTCGAAGGTGGTCAAGGATGTTAATGGTAACTGAAACCTCGTTGACGTGATAAGATAGGACCCTGAGAAAAACCTTAACTTAAAGTCCATGTTGCATCATGTGTTCTGCAATTTTCCTCGCATCAGTCATCTCTCCTCCGAGGCTCATCTGTTGCTGGAGTGCCTTGTTGAGAGACTGCACCGTCTTGTCGCAAGCGGCAAACCGTTGGATCGCACCAGGCAAGAGTGGCTGGTAGACCTGCCGAGCCGACGCATTTGCCATGTAAAAATACGTGTATCAGAAGTTCATTTTTGTTAAATTCAGGTGCCCGTGAGCTGTCATCTAGTTATGTCAGTTATGTCTATTTAAGTAAATGCATCTTTTGTATATATATATATATGTGGTACCCGGTACCCCCCAAAAAAGAACAACCCGTTCATAAAGTTTACTGCTGTTTGCAGTGTTGGCATATGTTTGCTAAAGAACTATATAACAAGCAATACGGTACTTCACAAAAACAAAAAAACAACATGAAAGGAAACACATACTATACACAGGATATCCCCAATGACTCAAATGACAAAAAGCAACAAACTAACAAACAAAAACAATCACAACAAAGCAACACTTTGAGGAGACTTTTTGGTTCAGCCTCAAAAAATGTTGTTTTGTGGTGTTCCTTGTTGTTTGTTTGTTTTTTTTTTTTGTGGGGGGGGGGGTGAAAGCCAAAAACCAAAAACAAAAAAACAAGCTTGTGTTTTTGTTTTTGATTAAACATATTCATGCAAAAGAGAGAAATAGGGTGAAGCAATGTGAAACCACAAAGGCATGGAAAAGGCATCACTAGCAACTGCCGCTCGCAGGCCCGTGTCACTGCCGCATGACACTCCGGAGTGTCGCCATGCCATCTCCGGAGTGTCGCCTGGTTGAAGAGCCCGACGCCATTGTTCAACAAGTTTGCGACGGCATTCTCCAACGCGCCCTGAGTGTGAGTGATGAAGCTCAGCGGAGCCGCCAAGTTTTCGAACCTTGGTGAAGCCAAAGGCCAACACAAAAATGACCATCCAAACAGTCCTGGTCCAACCAACCAAAAGTTATATATTGGTGCCATTTGGTGTACTGTGTTGGTCTGTGTCAGGCATCGAGGCAACTGCTTACTTTGTACAATGCACAATTTCTCGCGAGGCACTTCATCTGCAAGGATTTGACGGCCGGTGTTTGCTTGAGCACACTTGTCAGGCACTCTTTGGGAGCCACCAAGAGCTGTGCAAGGCTCCGAGTTCCTTGGAAGTGAAGGCGAGGTGAATAGTGTTGCGTCTTGGAGATGAATCAGAAGCGTCCCGGGTCACACATCGAACATAGGCTATAAAGGCCCCCAAATAGATAGAAAAGTAGATCCCCACTAGAAATGTATTGGAAACCGTTTCCATCTATTTAGGGACCACCACGATAATTCCTTGAAATTCTTTATTTTATGTGTATATAATTACCATTGATCAGTGATCAGTGATAAATACGCTTTTCTGCGACAATATCCAAAGCACGATCTGCTTGTGTATGTAGTTTCAGAATGTCTAGCATACCGTTTGTGTATATAGCTTCCCGCAAGCATCTCTATCTCTCTCTCTCTCTCTCAGTCAGCTCTCCCGCTGCCTCAATGAGGAGCCCTTAACTCCCACGCTGAACCCACACCGGATCCATGCCGAAGCTTCCGGGCCACTCGCTGGCCAAAACCTGAACTTCTCCCAGCACTTCCTGGATAGAGGGCGAAACTGCTCCAAGATGAGTCTAGGAAGGGAAGAACCGTCCGTGTAAGCCTAGGCCTAAGTAGCTCGGTATGCTCAGTCAACAAACCCCAAGCACTGCGTGTGACGATTGAGCACTGCCCCTCCAGCGAAGGCTTGAGAACCGCAAGGTGCAGGCTCATCTCCTGCCTGAGATGGTCAGGACATGTCAGGACCAAAGGCCAAGCATTCTTAAGCTACTAGTAACAAGGGCATCGCTACTAGTAACAAGGGCATTACTACTAATTAGTAGCAAGAAGCTACTAGTAACAAGGGTGATATCAGGATCTGCCAAAGATGTGTCTCACCGCTTGTGACAGGCTCTGACATGGTGAGGTTCTGCCAACTTCTCTTGCAGGTTCTGACATGAGCATGAACCCAAGCGTGTGAAACTCCCAGTTGCTCCATCGATGCTTGCGACTTGCCGCTGGACAAATCCACAGCCTCAACCTGAGCACCGCGGTGACACGAGAGGTCATGCACTGAGTACCCCTGATAACGCCAAAGAGTTGGTACGAGGAGCTTTATCCAGTTCACACAATTGGAATGGCCCAACAGACTCTGGCCCACCGGCCCCAATGTGTTGATTTTTGAACTTGGCTTCCTTCGGCACGCCTAGCTTGCACAATCAAGTACAGTATCTGACATAGAGATCAAAGTCAAGGCAAACCGTTAGGCAGGCTGAGCAAAGCTGGCCCAAAAGGAAGTGGTTCTGTCTGGCCGTTTGGTTTGGTCCTCCTTTTTTCCGTTCTTGACACAAACCTGACATGGTGGCCGCGTGCCTCGAGCTTCACATCCACGCCGAAGCCGAAGGCGGGACGCTCTGCAGTGCCCCAACTCACCTGCCAGTGGCAGGCACTGCAGGGGAAGCGACAAACGTAGGTTGTAGGGATCTTGGGCTCCTCAAGGCAAATTTATAGGATCAAACAAGTTATACTGAGGATCGAGGCGTTTTGATGCAATGAAATGGCAACATCTGCGCCATATGCTGTTGCAAGTTGCAAGGCTTATGCAGCTGCTTCCAAGACGGTGGTCAACAGCTTCATAATAAGGACTAAGCAAGGTCTACAACTATAGCGGCTTGGCAATCGAAAGGACAATCTCGTTGCCCTTACGAGCAAAACAGAATAGGAAGTGATTGTCGCATGATTGTGGGTCACTAGGTCGCAGCACGGATCAGAACTGTGCTGCCATGCACAAGGATTTGGCACGTTTGGGCACAGGTTGAAGTAAAAGCTTTGAACTGCGTTTCCCAATTGCCCTCACACCGAACTTCAGGGTGGGCCTCTCAAAGGTCATTGCAAATGATGCTTCCCCTTCTCCACCGAGGTCACGATTGATATATCTTCTATAAATATAACTATATACAGTTATTTTATTTGTATATAAATTATGATACTATGTTTCATTCTTCAAGTAGAGTCCCGACTTTTGGATCCCCAACACTCCTGCATGGCTGCATTCCTAGGTCAAATAAAGCAGCTGAGTTGAGTCCAACTCAAAAAGGTTCTGGGCAAACAAGGAGGCAAAAGAATTGAGAGCAAATCCGCATTTAGATTCCTTAAATGTATATTATATAATTATTGGAAGGGGTGTTCTATCACTGCGGAAAAAGCAATGTACAGTAGCTACTGTTGTTGTAACATACTGTGGCAGCTGGATTGAAACGGCAGGCCGGTCCGCCTTGAAACGCAGGTCGTTGGAGCCCACAGCTTCCACAGGAGAGAAGGCAGACATGCCATCAGCTCCTGGAGATAGGCCGATGGGCCCGGAAAGCTGCTGAAGCCCTTCCCAGCTCTACAATCCCCAGCTGCTGGGCTCCCGCCTTCGATGCTGGCAGACTTCAAGAAGGCAGTCACCTTCAACTCAAGGCCTTCCAAACCAATCTGAGTCAACAGGGCATCTGACGGAGTTGGGCCCAGAAGCAAGGGATGCAAGGGGTGTTGATCTATTCGTCTTGCTAGCTTATCTTTGCTGTCCGCCAGTTTTCAAACATCCAGGCTGGTCCAGGCATGACAGAATCAGAAGATGTCAAACGCACAACGAAAAAGGCACTCCCCCTGGGAAGCAACAATCAGACTACAAAAAGTGAGGCTGCAGAACAGTAGCTTGGGGCAAAATAACTTACTGCAAGTAAGGACATGCCTGCGTCAGGCTGCTTCACGGTGGTTGTCATCAGGGGCGTCTCCTAGGCTGGACTGGGCAAACAAAAGCAAGCTAATTAGATCCAATTGACCTGCAGATCAAGCATTGGAGGTTGTTTTGCTAGCTGGCCGCTGCTATTCTTGCTGGCAGCTGCCTGCTAAGCTGCTCCAGGCAAAGTCCAGCGACGGGCGAAGTGCTTACTTGGACACCCACAGAGCCACTGGCGAATCTGCATACTAAACACCCCACGGGCCGGTCATAGAAGTCAACCCAGTGGGCCCAAGTGAGAAGGCCTGCAATCGAGATGCTGGTCCAGGGATTACGATCGTCTCATTGCCCTTCACTGCCCAACCTCAGCACAGCATGTTCGGCATAGCGTGTACACAAGAAGCCAGCAGCCGATGCCTAAAACGGTCAAGGCACGCATTCATCAAATGTCCACCTTGCCAACAAACGACCGAACCTGCCCTGACGAGTCTGTCGGCAGAGGCTCCTGTGAACTGTTGCGATGATGCATTGGATGGCGTGGTGATACTGACTATGAACGATGTCCACCATGCTCTTTGGCAGCAGCAGTGCGGGTGCAGGATGGTGGAACATAGAACATGGCCCCTATGTTCATAGTGACTGCAGGCATGACAGCATGTCACCTATCAGACCTCTCACATTCAAAACCCAGCTCTTTCCGTGGTGGTTTATGAACCCCGCTTCATCGAACCCCACCACTCCCGCGTTTTCGGCTTGCTCACTCGCCGGGACACGGATCGCCTGATCCAAGCGGTTGGGACCGATGACATCGTCCACCAGCCAGGAGATCCACTCTGGGCGCCAAATCCGAAAGGAGTTGCCACAAAACTCGCCCAAAGTGAATTGGACTATATATATATATACCAGTTCAACCATGGGAAAGCCATTTCAAGCCATTATACTATATTTACTATTTCGAGCCATGTTCAACTGGAGTTGGGAGATCTTTTGGACTAACATGATGCTGCTCAATTTGGTCTAAACTGAGCTGTACCCGTCTAACCTGGATGAAAACTTTAGAAGGTTCACGTCGGTGGGCGATTCGCAACGGAGCTGCTCCCGGCCAGCACTTCATCAAAATCATCAAAGCCATCACAAATGGGGTTCCTTCCGACTTCCAAGTCCAATTTTTAAATCATAGATGTCATGACACATCCTCCTGACACTCTTAGTTACACAAGTTGTTGTTGCTTTTTAGCCTGAGACTCGTCAAGTGAGCCAAGTGGAATGACTTTATCCGACATCATCCCATGTCTGGAAAAGTGTTGCAAACACACCTAAGCCATTCCAGCATAAAGCCAAGAGCAATTCCAGCATAAAGCCTGAGGCCAACCTGCTGGGTGTAAAGCATGAAGTGGGATCCTGCTGGTGTAAAAGTTTGGCCTCCTGGCCCTTGGGCCCCTTGGGATGTCGTTGGACCAATTTGTGTCACATGTTTCCAGCATGTCCAGTTCTTTCTATCAGATCTTGGTACTGCTAAGCCGCTAAGCCTGATCCAACTCAAGAACCACCTGAGCCCATGAGGTAGGATCCTGTGCCGGGCTGCTCAAGGATGCATCATGGCTCCAATCCACAGTGCCGCTCTTCTCTTCAGCCTTTCACTGGACACAGTGACACACAGCAATCCACGCAAACACGGAGATGGCCCATTATTAGCACACATGCACATGGTTTGGTGTGAGCATTTGTGAGCCTTGATCCTAGCTGTCCTACATCATGTGCATTGCACAGGTTCATTTGCCTGGCCCTGCCACCTGGAATGGAGCCCCTGACTTCCCATGATGACCCCTCCCATCTCGGTGACTCCCGACATGGAGTGTCAACGTGCGACCCAAACGGAAGGCTTCTGGGACCAGTGCGAAGAATGTAGGACAATCCTTTCCGTAGAATTCACCAACCCTCCGGAGGCTGCGGGGATTGTGTCATGACATCGTCTGATGAGGCCAATCGATGGCGAAACTGGAGGTTCTGATGAGGCCAATCAATCCTGAAATGTGCACATGAATACATCTCTCTATATATATATATATACATTCATTATTATACGTCAGTTTAAAACCACTCTTATATAAACGTATACTTGCACCTTGATTCGGACCTTGATCTTTGCGACAGTGACTTTCAAACATAAGGATCATAAGGGCTTAGGTGGCCCCCCCTGTCATTCCTTCGGGTCAAGCCATCTCCCATCGACCAGGCGCCTGAAGTCGTCGGTACTCAGCAACTCTCAAATGTCCCGCGGGCGCGTCGTGCTTCAGATCTGCGACGTCGTGCTTGGCATCAATGAGATCATCAAAGCTGTGGACTTTGGTGTGGAACCAGCTGTCCCCATCCTGGACCAAGAAACACCAAGAAAAGGAGCAAAGTCTGGACAGTCGTACAATAGTCGTACAACAAACCATCTGTGTCGGATGGCTCTGCAGCTTGTTAGTCTTGTGTCGGTCCATGGATATCAACACTTAAGTACAACATGTGAGCACGCAGACGAGAGCGAGGACTTCCTCCTTACTCGGAAGCATGGCGAGACTACAAGGTCAACGTGAGGATGCTTTATTCAGCAAGAATGTTTCGACCTCAGCACCCGCGGAAGTGACCGTCTCTTGCAGCACCTAACTGCTGTCTATGTAGAAATCTAGTGCATCTGGTCTCGAGGCATTGTGGAAGCACAGCCCACCAAATGTGAAACACATTATAATACAATATATTAGACACGACGCAAGGTGAGTGCCCTCAGAAAAAGAAAGCTCAAAAAAGGCTACCCTCCACAAAAGAACCTTCCGGGCCCACAGCTCAAAACCTCTCTCCCATCCCAGAAGTGCCATCGCACTGGTGTGCTGCCCTTTTCCAGTAAAAAACGCAAGAATCACCACCAATGGTGCGCAAACCGCCAAAGACCACAATGGGTACAATGCCGTGACTAAGGGTGGTGAGAACTATTTCACCAAAGCAGGAGAGGCACAACGGTTTTCACATGAGAAACCTCCCTATGCATCCATTGGCACAAAAGGGGCTCAACCATAAAGCCACAAATGAATCCAAGGTAGCATGAAAGCAGGAATGCCCTGCAAGGTTGAGAACCAAGAGGCCAACAAAAAAGGGCAACACAAACTCGAGGTCCAAAAACATTCGTGCCTATGAGTTTGCCCTCAACATGTAAGTATTTATAGACCGACTTTGGGGGCAAACCTGGGTAGCCCATGGTAGCCCAGTCTCTTTCTTGAAGTAGCTAAGTTTCAGATGCAAATGATGATCTCTCTCTCTCTCTCTCTCTCCACAGCTGTATGCAGGCCTCAAAGCTCGTGGCCACTGAGTTCACGAACAGCTCAGAGGGTGGCAGCATGAGGCGATTGAAGTCTGAGAGCTTCTTGGAAAGCCTCGCAGTTCAGGCTAGAAGAGACACTTGAGGAAGTCGGAAGCTCTTGTCACTTCGGGTGATTATGCCCTGACCTGGACAAACTCCAAAATACCATGAAATGGTAGTGCCCTCTGGTCATTGCACCCACTTTCTGATAGCAAATCCATGCAAAGCCATAAAACAAGCCGAAGATAGAACCGTACTTACCGAAGTGGTCTTACTCACGCTTCTGAGTCCAAGTTGCTCTATGCGATGGCTTTGTTGACCGGTCAACACCCCTCTATCAACTGCTTGCGGCTCACCAAGTGTTGGCCGCGACCAGACGCGCTTGTCCGAGTGGCTCATTGGCGGCCATCTGCTTGAGCTGCCCACACGCCTGGCTGATGGCCTCGCAGCGCTCGAAAGGTGCGGATTCTTTAATCTTCAGTGTAATGCTCCAGTGGGGTTGGTTGGCGGGTCCTTTGCCCCGAACATGCGCGAACTTGGGTCCATATTTATATACATATATATATATATAAGCGCATATAACATGTTTGAGTCGGGAAGATCAGCTTGAGAATTGTTGCCACATACATGCGGCACGCACAAGCCAACTCAGCACAGAACCATCAAAAGCACTGGTTCTTGCAATATGTCATACCCTTGGACTTTGTCATAGGGTCTTCAGGGCTCTTCTAGCTTCCATGATTGCATCGAGGCACGGAAAAGGGAGCAATCAATTGAATTCGTTGAGCTTTATACTCGCCCCGTGGCTACACTTTGATCGAAGTACCCTGTAGGTCGTTATCCAAGTCATTGAGAAAACCACTTCACGTCGCAGTTACCAGAGCTTGGTGACAACACATGTGCTTTTTTTGGACCAAACAATTCGCAGCAGGAAAAGCGTCTCGGAAATTCGTGTCACTCTCAACGGGTGATTCGCCTGGTGCTTAATCAAAGCTGAGATGGGCTTAGAGAAGAGGTTGATCACATCATAGACGATGGAACCTTGGAGCTTGAGATCGATATCCAGGTTGGCATCGCAGGCGGCTGCCTCCCCCGCTCCGCCCAGCGAGGTCAGCAAAAGCACACATCAAGCAGCCAAAGTGCAAGCGGCGAAGAGTACTACTACACAAGTTTAACTTGGTAAGATATATATACAATTAAGCCAATATCAGTCGAGCAAGGCCCCGGCATACAAAGAACAAGGTCCAAACTCCAAACAGGCTTCTTGTCGGGCCTCGACAGACCAAGGGAGGTTCTTGTTGAAGTTCATACCTTTCAATGCCACGGTAGCAGTGGAAGTTGGGCTGCCCTTCACCTGTGCAGAGGCATAAGTCCATCTGATTCCATCTGGAGGTTCATCACTGGTCTCTCTGACGGGGTTTTCTTAAGTGAGCTGAAAACCAACGCGCAAAGAAGGTCGTGAGTCAACACTCGGAAGCCATCAACAAAGCACCAGCTCCTGAAAGACTCTGGTGACATCCATGAAGGACCAAAATATCCAAAAAGAATACAGGCTCAAGTTGGGGTGTCCGAAACAAGTGTTTGGGTGTTCTTACTTTCGGCTCGCTCGACGCCAGGGCACCACAGCACTAAGGTCCCCAGAGCCACTGACGATGGCCAAGCCGTGATAGTCAAAGTGTCCAGTGCAGCTGATCCCCACGCCCTGCAGCGTGATGGATAAGCCGACGTCCTGCGGAGTAGTGGTACCAGGCGAGAACACCAAAAAGGCAAGCTGACAACTGTCTAAGGTTTAAAACCTAAGTCGGACTGTTTGGATTTGGGTGCCTCTTAAACAATCCAATTGCCTCCCACATGAAATCAGGGATCCTCAGTTTAAGGTTCTCGCGTTACCTTGTCCCGAATGGGTCATTAATCTTGGACCTCCAAAATTTCAACAACGCCTGTTTGAAGAAATAACCAATTATCACAATCAAACAACGTCATGCATGTGTGCGTGTGTGTGTGGGATGTCTTAATTCTGGTCCCCTTGTCCTCGAACATTCTCCTATGCATCCTCTTTGCTGTGCCCTCGCTTGGAAAATGGTATAGGGAAACAGATGTCACTTAGTTTCGCATAGTGACATGTCCCATGCTGCTTGAAGGTGGATGGATCGGGGATGGGGAATCTGGAAGGACAAACTTCGAGGGCAAGGGGAGCAAAAAAGCAGGGAGCCGGTGCCTGATAGCCGGTGCGAGCTCACACAAAACAGGCCGTCAGCGATGATTGACGGAGCAAGCCAGGGACAAACATCGCCAACTTTGCCAACGCCAAACATCGCCAAACTACCAGCAGTGGAGATTTGAAAAAGCAAAGAAGAACAACAAATCTGCAAACAAACCTGCTTGATTGAATCAAAGAGTTTGTCAAACCACTGCTCGTCGAACATTAAGGAACGGCAGTGTTTGCAATCCCTCCCGTGACAGGCGGACTGCGTCCTGAACTGCTGACTGGATGTCGGTGAGTTTCAGGTTCTGACCTTTGCAAGTTCTTAGGGTAGCAAATGCAACAAGTCGTTTTCAAGCGGGACCTCCTGCATTGATATATATAGAGAGAGATGCATACATATATATATATATATATACATGAACTCCTCTCAAAACTCCTGGCTCAAATCCCAAAGACTATATTGGGTCAACCCTTAATAGTTGCAAACCACCGCTTTGGGATTTAAGCCAAGAGTCTTGAGGGTATAAGGCCTTATCGTATGCTACACCCATGACAACAAGAGTATGAACAAGACCAAGCAGCACACCAGCTTCGAGACCTTGAATGTGATGCCAGCTTTCTCCTGCGTGACCTTGCCACATATGTTACCATTTCAGGCGAAAGTGAGTACAAGAACAAATGAGATCACTGGTTGTAACTGTTCATGTCTTGAAAATGGCAATCTCTCTCTCTCTCTCTGTCTCTCTGTCTACTCTCTCGCTCGCTCTCCAATATCCATCACCCTCCAATTTACAAACCACCGCTCAGGCACATCTTCCAAAGAGAACTTAAGGCTATCCAGCCATTGCGCCAACGGATCAGGGGAAGCGGCCACAAAAGCAGCTGCAAACAGCATGCGGGCCATAACACCGATCGCAGAAGCCATGCCTTTGGCAAGATCGAAAATCAGCGCTGGTTGGATCCTCTTGAGCCAGTGTCTTCGGGAAGATGGACCCTCCTGCTGGGATAATGGTCAAGCAACATGTTACTGAGCTAGACCAGCTACCAAGTGCACTATTCCGCAGGATGGCGCCTGCCATGGGAGTTATATAGCTTTGACCAGGTAGTACGTATATATATATATAGAGAGAGAGATATACAGTAATCAGTACACACACATATATATGTATATATATTATTCAGCAAAGAGTGCCAAAAAGCCAATAATAATAGACAAAAAAAAAGTGCAAAGCAACCTGGCTGCTTTAAGCTGAAGCCTGGCCATGGGGCACATGTTGCGGAGGCTCGGGGCCACATGCTGGGCGAGGCGGATCTCGGCGACCAGGTCGCAAATGCCGTTCCTGAGAACACATGATTCCCACGCAAATCATTAGGGACCTATTTGTGATTAGGAGCGCTGTTATTGTCAGGCAAGGGGATAGACCCTCTTGGATAATTAGGCAAATCATTCATTGATGGCGGCTAATGAAGCAAATGAGATGTTTCATGGTGTTTCCACTTGACAGAGGCTGCTGCAAGTCTTCTCTTTTTTAGCCAAGCTGGCAGTCTAGGACTCCCCTAGCCCCTCCAGAGCAAAGGAAAGAAACTCCTCACACTCATATGAAGGTATGAAAGCAATTTTGATATCACCTTTCCTACCCTGGGCACTGGCAGGGGTTGTCCTGATTTGGACACGTCAAGCAAATGCAGACTTGCCGCTCAACACAAAATGCCTCAACATCATCGTGGATGTGAGGGAGGTCTGCTCCAGGTTTGACTTTAAATATACACACTCAATGGGCGTGTACGCTGAGAAGAACGGTTCCACAACGCCAAACCTGGGTTTTGGTTCAAACTCGCGCATGAGACCAAAAATCGCCCGAAGAGGGCCTGGCATTTTGCCCAGCAGCCCCCGCTCAAAAAAGCTGTGTAAGCGAAATAAAGATACATAAAGAACTGGATTGGCAAACCATGAACGTGCGCCTCAGCACCAGAAGGCCCAGTCCATAAAATGAACATTGAATGCTTTTGAATTACACATGCCATTCTCAGGACAATCCAACCATACCTTACACATTCTCACTCGAGCATGAACTTCCTGGAAACGGAGAAGGTTCTCTGGAACTCCCTGAGTCCTGAACACGGTCAAAAGCCACCGAAACGGGACCATGCAACTCCTGAAACTCCTTCCCTCCGAAGCCGCTCAGGCACAAAGAGAGCCGCAGGGGACGCAAGGGATGCGTCCGACTCGGCCCAAACAACTCGGATGCCAACGAGAGCTGTGCTTCAGTCGCGTGCACATATGACGGCCCGAGCCGGAGTAGCATCGGATGCATTGGGATCGGCTCTGGTGTCGTTCTCACAGAGTAGCAGCCCCATATGAACTGGGAGAGCTGTTGGTAAATGTCCTCCCAATCTTGAGGCCGAGTGAGGCCCTGCAAATTAGGCACGCAATGGAAGGTGTCTGAGGTGTCTTCAGTCTGGTGCTTGAACTTGATGTGTGCCTCCAAGATATCAAAATGCTCTGACATGCCATCTAGCAGTAGGGTGATGCTTGCCAGCGACGATTCGCTGCATTCAGCTTGAGATGCCGCGGTTTGCGGCTCGACGCTGCTGGCGATACTGCCTGCAGCCGGGTTTCTCTCAGCACTAGGCCCTTCCCTTGGCTCGGGGTCCTCCTTGAAGACCAGCAAGTGGTACGGCTTTGTGGCCCCAAACAGGTTGGGAACCCGCACGTGGCAGACATCGACGCCCACTGGAACTCCGAACGCATTGAAGAGATGGATCCGATGACAAGCAGGTGCACTGCCACTTTGGGCCAGCTCATCATCAGAATGATCGGCGAACTGTACAAAGTCCCTTGTAGCACCTGGTCCAGACAGCATTGACAAGAAGGATGCCCCTTCAAAGCTTCTTCCAAGATCTCCTGTGAGGTGTTGGAGGCACTTGGCTTCATCTAAGATCTTGAAGTCGCTGTCAAGAAGGAGGTCTCCATCACTGCTGCCCTTTATGATGCGCCTAAAGCTTGCCAGCATTCTTGTCGCATCCTGAGAGGTTTGTATTAGCCTTCGCGCGGTTTCCTCGGCACATGCTGGAATCATCACATACACTACCAGGATCAGAAGACGTGTCCATAGAGCACTTCTTGTGAACTCCCCACCAAGGACTTCAAACATCACCGCATCAGCCAAGGACACACAAATGCCCATTGGAATTGACAAGTACGCATCCATGAAAATTGCAGCATAACAGCATGTAAGTGCTGAGTTGAAAGCTTGCATTTCCAAGTAATGCGTCATGTCTGCACAGGTCAAAGTCTTCACCAAATGAAGGAGATACAGGATCACGCCCAGCGGGCGGAGTGCATTGGTCAACTGCTTTTTGCAAATGACGAGCGCCACATGTGATAGGATGTACGCAGCAGCAGCATGTGACAAGTCATTCTCGCCACGGGTGGACAGCAATCGCAACATCTGGATATGGCAGTTGATCTGGGAGGACAAACTCAATTGCATCAAGCGCCACTTTGACATTTCCTTGTCAGCCGGAGAAAATCTAACTCCAGTCCTGGTCCTACATCTGGACGCTACCTAGTAAAATGGTCTATGTTCTTCAGGGATTTAACAGCCCAAAAAGGCCTCAACAACCAATTTACTAGTAAGGCACTTGTTACTACTAGCGTGGCACTTGTTACTACTAGTAAGGCACTTGTTACTACTAGTAAGGCACTTGTTAACTGCAAAAGAATTGCGTCAATATAAACGACCAAAGATCCGCGTGCATGCTGCTGCCATACTCCTCCGCCCAACCACGCCTCAGTGTGCACATTGCCTGCCACCCCAATTTCTGATGCACCTCCTGCCCCAGGTTTATGGCATCCCCCAGGTGCACATGAAGATGCCAATGGCAAAGACCAAAGCGGACTAGATCCATGGCACCGTAGTCCACGAAGCGGCCCAAAAAGCGAAGAACAGGACCAAATGATTTGCCCGTCGGAGTCTACGCCTCTTTCTTAAGTCTGGCTCTGATCGTGTGGAAACTTGCTGGGATAAATATCAAATCTGTCTGCCGCTCGGCCTGAGCCCAAAACTGCAAAGCGCATGCTGACCAACGAAACGACGAGTGACTTAGTGACACACTGTCCACTTCAGGCCAAACATTATTATGTTTTCCGCTCTGCCCCAAAAAAACAAAAGTATGTGGTGCATATGTTGATACATATACACTATAAACATGTATAAATATTGGTGGCATAGGCATAGGTGCATATGTATACACACCATTGGCATGATCTTTTATCTCTCCCCCC